TTCCTCTCTGTAAAAAAATCAATAAAATAAATAAATAAATAAATAAAGTTATAAAAAAAACATTAACTTAACAAAATTCTGGAAGACCCACACTCTGTAGGTAAGACTGAGGGAAAATAGGCCCACTCACACACTCATGGTAAAAGTGAAAACGAATGCCACGCCTGTGGATGGCACGTATATACATATACACCCGTATTAGCATGTACATATATACATCCTATATATGGATATTTGTAATGTACGTATACATGTAATTTTTAACAAAAGGGAACATGCATAAAATTCAGATCCAACTAATCAGTTATGTACTAAGTTGATTGCAACATTGTGAGAACAAAAAAATTTTTTAATAATTTAAATATCCATAAATAAGGGGCTGGTCAAATAAATTATATTTCACCCATATAATAAAATGCCATGCAACCATTTAAAATAATAAAAGAATGGGGAAACTTTCTATGTGCTGATATGGAAATATCTTCAAATTATACCTTTTAATAACAAAATCAAAATACAAAGCAAGATGTATAACATGATTACTTTTGTGTGAAAAAGGGAGAAAATAAGCAATTTTCTCCCTTTGCTTAGATATGTTATACTAGTTATACTAGAATTTGCTTATATTTGTGTGAAAATACCTCTGAGAAGACACCAAAGAATCCAAAAAGGAGAGAGGGGGCACCTGTGATGGTGAGTTGGCAGGGTGCCATGGAGAAAAGGGGCAGGAGCAAGAAGATTCACTGTGTATCTTCTTATATTGTTGTTTTTTTTTTTATCTTGGACAATATATTGCCTAATTTAAAAATTCAATAAGTGGATTAAATAGTAGACTAAACACAGCAAAAGCAAGAATTAGTGAATTACAACAAAGAACTGGAGAAAATAATGGGAAGTCAGTACAGAGCAGAAAGTAGCAAATATATCTCATTCATATTCCAGAAGGCCAGTACAGAGAATGAGGGAGACAGGACAGCAAGGGCTAAGGGCTAAGCTGTTTTCCAGGATGGTGAAAAATGCAAATCCTCAGATTCAGGAAGAACAAATCCCGAACAGGATAAATGAAAAGCAATCCACACCTCCAGAGACATCGGTGACACCCAGAGTGTCACAAATCTAAGCTTAGAAGTCATTGCTCTGAACAGAGAAGACTATGACAGTGGCCCAGACATCTTAGGGCAGTGGTAGGCAAACTGCGGCTTGAGAGCCACATACGGCTCTTTGGCCCCTTAAGTGTGGCTCTTCCACAAAATACCACAGCCTGGGCAAGTCTATTTTGAAGAAGTTTAAGTTTAAAAGATTTGGCTCTCAAAAGAAATTCCAATCGCCGAGACCAGTTTGGCTCAATGGATAGAGCGTCAGCTTAGGGACTGAAGAGTCCCGGGTTCGATTCCGGTCAAGGGCATGTGCCTTGGTTGCGGGCACATCCACAGTAGGGGGTGTGCAAGAGGCAGCTGATCGATGTTTCTCTCTCATCGATGTTTCTAACTCTATCTCTCTCCCTTCCTCTCTGTACAAAATCAATAAAATATATATTTAAAAAAAAAAAAAAGAAATTCCAATTGTTGTACTGTTGATATTTGGCTCTGTTGACTAATGAGTTTGCCAACCACTGTCTTAGCGGAACTCAAAAATGCTGACACCTCCACACCAATTACAAGCCATGCTGGCCTTTCCAAATCCTCCATCTCAAGCAAACTTCTTCCTCTTGTTTTTATAAGCTATCTGTATGTTAAAATATGTTTTTGCTCTAAGTTATGATATAAAGTTATATAATTGAGTATTTAAGACAAACCATAGCCAAAACTTCACCATTTGCAGCAGAGTCAGGTCACAGAATCTGGGAATGGTCTGTGGGAAAACATAACACTGGAAACTCCGGAAGGCAGTTCCACTGGGAATGGAGAAGACCATCACTGACTGTGCAAACAACAGAGGGCTTAGAGGGGCAGCCCTCAAACAATGCCACCAAGACTGACCGGTGCTGTGCGCATGGGGAAACACGGGTTCGATGGAACAGTTGGCACTGACGTACTTTATTTGGGTCATTTCATTTCAGTTGTGGTTGAACCTGTCACCGATTTTAGCAAATAACTAAAAGCTTAGAAAAGCAATTCATTTCTATCTTCATGGTTTGTAGCAAATTTTCGGAAAATCAAAAATGGAAAGATCTTAACAGTCCCTCCCCTCAAAAAGAAGACAAATTCTCTAAAAAGGAATGGCCACAATAGAAGCCCGAAACAGAGAGCTCACTTCAAAGTTATTTTAAGAGGTGTCAACCAGCACTAACTCCGGAGTGTCAACCAGCTAAAATTATGGTTCAAAAACGAGGGTGACGTAAAGACATTCCAGGCAAACAGAAACAGCTCCCAGAGACACCCGCTGAAAGTACTTGTAAATGGGTGTACTTTAAGAAGAAAAAGGAAATTATCCCCAAAAGGAGCTCAGAGATGAAAGAATAATGAGCAAAGACATTGGGAAGCACATGGGTAAACATGAAATCATAGTACCCAATGACTAATCTAGTGGAGGAAAAGTAAGATAGAGCTAAAATACTGGGTAAAAATAGACCTCAGAAGCAGAAAGGGGGATATTAGTTAATAACATTCTAAGTATCCCTGGAAAAAGAGAATAATACTAACAACTTTAGACCTTGCAAAGAGGGAATGTTAGCATTTTTCTGGATAAACACTAAAGAATCAGAAAGATTTTAAGATCTAAACCAGTAAGAGAAAAAAATGTAATTTCTTAGAAATAAACTCTCATAGAGCAGTAATCACAGTAAATGTGAATGGCTTAATGCACAGTTATATAGATAGATTAGATGACAAAACAAAATCTAACTAATTATGTTTAACAGAGTTTGAAAGTAAGATAGAAGATCTCCAAGATGAGTATTAGTCAGGACACTTAAAAATTACTAAGATGGTAAATTTTATGCTATGTGTGTTTTATCACAGTTAAAAACAACAATAAAAAAGAGGAAGTTGGGATAGCTCTACAATCATGGACAAAATTGCATTATTTGGGATTAAAGGGGTTACTACATAAAGAGTTCAATTCACTGGGAAACAAACAATGTTAAACTTGTTTAATAAAATAGCCTCAAAACATAAAGTAAAAGTTGACAGAACTCTAGCTGTAAGGGGAAATGTATAGGTCTTAAACAATCTATCCTCACAGGGAGAGATTGTGGCATGATTCTCTCAGTAATTAATATATCAAAAGACCATAGGTCTGGACATTGAACCCTGTACCCAAAATTTAGCAAATTATAAAATAAAAGACTATTTTAAATTATAGAATAAAATTTTTCTGCTCAGGTCCACAGGGACATTTACAAAACTGAATGTTTGGTAGACCATAGAGAAAATTTCAACATACATCAAAGAATGGTGGTCATATAGACAATATGTTCTGACTACAGGGTAACTACAATATGTTGAAAATCAATAACCAAAAGTATTTAAAATTCCATTTTTGTAGAAATACAAAAGGCATACTTTAAAAAAAAAACTCACAAGTCAAAGAAAAATCATAAGGAAATTTATGATTTCCGCGTATAGGTATCTATACAAAGAAAACAAAAACACAAATTTGAAAAGATAATCACTCCCATGTTCATTGCAACATTATTTATAATGACCAAGATATGAAAACAACCTAAGTGTCCCTCCATGGGTGAGTGGATAAAGAAAATGTGACACACACACACACACACACACACACACACAATGGAGTATTACACAATGGAATATTGTTCAGCCATTAAAAAAGAAAATCTTGCCATTTGTGAAAACATGGATGGACCCTGAGGGTGAGATAAGTCAGATAAAGACAAATACATGTGGAATCTTAAAAAGAAAACCAACAAGCTGCGATTTCTGGGAGAGGGGGTGGGACCGTTGAGGGAGGAGTGAGTCAAGTTCGAGAAGGCAACGTGAGCCCCTCTTCCCGTAAGCAGCCAGGGGGACATGAACTCAAGGTATGAGCCACTGCATGGTGTCACACGTGGTCTGGGTCTGCGGCTATCTGTCCCCATCGCCGATGCGGTTGGAGGGCGAAGTGAAGGCTCCCCACTTACCCAGCTGACCCCATTTCAGATCGGTGTGACATTGTCCCCCGAAGACGCTCTGTGAGTCAATCAACCCATGGAAACTTTACCCACCCTGACCTCGAGGAACACGGAAACTGAAGAAGACCACTGGACCTTGGTCCCACCCAAATATCTCTCCCCAGTGGGGTCCCTGTGGCTGCAGCCACGGGCCAGGGCAAGGGTGGGACCACGGTGGCCACTGATTCTCACAGTGATTCTCACAGGCAGGACACCCTGTCCTCGGGTATGTGTTTAGGGCTCAGAGTCTGGGCTGAGCTGGGGGATAGGTGTGGGCAGGAAGTGGGCAAAGAGGTTTGAACAATGTTTATTCCCCCCATACACACACACACACACACACACAAACACACACACATGCCACTCAGGGAGGACGGGCTGGTCACACATGAATGCTGGCTCAGGGCCAGGCATTGTCCTAGGCACTTCACGTGTAGCAACTCCCCAAAATGTTTACAACCTCTGCCATCTACACTATTGTTATTCTCGCTTTTAGCTGAGGAAACTGAGGCACAGAGAGGCTAAAGGAACTTGCCAGCCACAAAGCTAGGACACGAGCGGGCTGGCCCAGCTGGGAGTTCCTGCTCTGTAGCGCCCCCCAGGGAAGTGCCCTGACACCAGAGTGGACCATGGAAGTCCTCAGGCCCCTGTGTTCACTCCACGAGGCCTCGCTGTTGCCCCAGGCCCCTCGCCCCAGGGTGCTCCGCTTGGCGGCTGCGCCTCTGGCCTCACAGTTTGCTTCCTGAGGGCTGTCAGCGGGGCCGGATGAGGAGGTGAGGACAGGGTGGGTGCTGGCGGGGGACTGGGGGGGGGGGGGGGGCGGGGATTTGAGATGTGTGACCACAGTTGGGGGCGGAGGCAGGAGGGCAGGGCAGGAAGCAGAAGTGATGTGAGAGGTGGCCTGGTGATGAGCTATAGGGTGAGCCTGCTGGGAGGGCTGACACACTTCAGGAGCTTCCTGTGACGAGAGAGGGTGTCTGTGTGGGAGCATCTCACTGCAGGACTCCAGGTATGGGGAAGCTGGGGGTCAGGAGGCTGGGAGTCCTGGGTGGGGTCAGGGGGGCCTGGAGGGAGGCTGCTCCTTTGGAAGAAGAGCCTGATGGGATAGGAAGTGCTGTGACCTGTAAAGATGAGAGACGTGGGTCCCGGGCTGTGCTGCTCACGGACCCCCTGAGCAACCTCCCTCTGACGTGGGGCCTCCGTTTCCTCACCTCTAACATTAAGAGGTTGGAATGCATAGCTCTGAGACCCCTTTACATGTGGAGCTTCCTGGGAGACACTAGGATGGGGGCCCAGAGGGAGCTGAGCTCCTTGGGTTGAGGGTCTGAGCTGTGCTGGCCTCCGGAATGGAATAGCCCTCGGAGGGGCCTTTGAAAGACTCCCCTTGTTCTGTTACTGCCCTGGGGGCTGCCGTGTTGCCCGGACCCCCACCATGCAGTCAGTCCTCTGGGCCGGGCACAGAGGGAATGCGGGGGCAGCTCCTGACCTCCACAGTCCCGGGGGTTCAGAGAGACTGCCCCACCACCACCCTCACCCCTGTCCCCCGAAGGTTCTGAGAGGGGAGCAGCCCTCAGGAGTTCATTTGCATAGAGCAGTGGTTCTCAACCTTTCTAATGCCACAACCCTGTAATACCGTTCCTCACGTTGTGGTGACTCCCAACCATAAAATTATTTTTGTTGCTACTTCATAACTGTAATGTTGCTACTGTGATGAATCGTAATGCAAATATCTGTGTTTTCCGATGGTCTTAGGCGACCCTGCTAGCGGTTCTCAACCTGTGGGTCGAGACTGTATGAAAGGGCCACGGCATTAGAAAGGTTGAGAACCACTGGCGTAGAGGTAGAGAGAGAGTCCAGATCCTAAGCAGGCTCAGGTGAGGCCCCAGGGCCACCTCCAAATGAGGAAGAACCTTCTACCGTATCGCTGTCAGATAGTGGCAAAAGGTAGCTGGTAGAACTCCACAGAGCGTTGGGCAGAGGGGGGAGGGGGAAGATGCACAAGCAGGGCTGAGTGTCAGGGAGCCTGGAGAGCCAACGTGACGGCCCCTCCCACCCAGCTTTCTCGGGGCCTGTGCCTACGGAGAGCTCTTATTCTAGAAGGTAGGCTAATGCTCTTCCGGGGGCTCAGGGAGAGGACCCCCGAGGGAGAATGGGGAGGATGACACTGACGCACCTCGTTTCCTCTCCGTTTCCACGAAAGGCTTCTTGGGAAAGAGAATGAGAGGGGCAGAATGGGCCCGGACGCATGGCTTGTTCCAGGGCCCAGGGTGGCACTTCCCCAGAATCCAGTCTTCTCCCGAGTCCCCAGGCCCCTCCCAAACCTGCCACAGCTACGCTCAGCTCCCCTCCTGTGCACTCAGAGCCCCCTCCCCACCGGCAGCCACTGTGAGGACAGAGCCATCCCTCTGGATCCCCAGAAGGCCTTCAGTAGTGGGGATCTTAGCAAGGGGCTCCTCTGGCTGTGACCCGGGCAAGGCCCTCTCCTCTCTGGGCCCCTCCGTACAAGGTGGTGGCCAGGTGTGCAAAGGCCATTCCGGCTCTGACATCCGGTGACTTGAGAGACACTTCATTCCCTCCCCATTCTGTGTGCCCTGATCATCGGGATGAGGGGAGGTTGTCGGCCATTCTCCTCACCTCTGCCCCTAGCTTCCCGGGGTTCCGACAGCCTCTGTCTCCACAGCCCCATGGCCGCCCGTGTGCTCCTCGTGGGCATCCTGCTCCTGCTGCTGCCCACGCCTGCCCCTGCCCCCTGCTACACTGCTGCGAGATCCGAGTGCCAGAGCGTTCGCAAGGCGGTGCCTGGCTCCGAGCTGGCGGGGGAGGGCGTGGATGTGACCAGTCTCAAGCGCTCAGGCTCCTTCCCGGTGGACACAGAGAGCTTCCTCCGGCCCGATGGCACCTGCACCCTCTGCCGCAACGCCCTCAAAGGGGGTGCCCTCCAGCGCCTGCCCCTGGCGCTCACCCACTGGCGGGCCCAGGGCTCAGGCTGCCAGCGCCATCTGGTCAGGGCCAAGGCCAGCTCCACAGAGACCGTGGCCAAGGAAGCAGCTTCCAGCATCCACAATGACTGGAAGGCAGGGCTGGAGGTAAACCCCAAGCCCAGCACCAGTGCCCGCATGACGGTGGCCGGCTCGCACTCCGAACAGGCCAACTTTGCAGCTGACAAAACCCACAAGGACCAGTACAGCTTCAGCACCGACACAGTGGAGTGTCGCTTCTATAGGTGAGCGCTGGGGGTGCTGGCAGAGGGGGCTTGGCAATGTTCTGGGGGATGCTGGGTGGCCTGGGAGCCCTGGCATGGCACAGTGGGGTCTTAAGGCTGCTGCCACCAGGAGGAAACCACAGCCCAGGTCCTCACACACCAGGTGGTCCAGCACCCCGTGGCCCTGACCTGGAAGAGCCCAGGGAGGGGACAGCGGAGAGGAAGCAGGCAAGGCTGTGCTGAGAGCCCCAACAGAGTGCCTTCAGGCCTCCTGAGGGCCCAGCCCCTTCCCTGGGCACTGCCAGCCTTCTGCGGGCAGGGGGCCTGGCTGGGTCCCTCCCATCTCGGAGCCTCCTTCGTCCATTCAGACACTATTCCTGTCCGTGTTGCCAAGCTCCGTGCTGGGGATTAGGGCTCCGAGGCTGAGCACCAGTTCTCAGGGACTGAGGTCCCACGCCTGAGACATGCGTGGTCTCATCGGGCAACCCCAAACCCCCTGCCCTGGTTCCTCACCCTGGAAGGTCACCTCACAGTGAGTCAGGGCACCTCCACCTGCATGGCCAGAGTCGTCAGCAGCCCAGGCATACGGGGCCCAAGCCATGGGACAGACAGACGAAGACCACAGGACTAGCATCCAAAGCCAGAGGAACATCCCCGCTGCAGCAGCATCACTTTTGTCGTTAGAAAATAAAAAGGAAAGGAAAACTTTATTTTGAAAAAGGAAAAGTGGAAATGCCTCGACAAAGTCATTGAGGAGGCATAGACAGGGTATGTTTCCTGGGTTCGGGTCCCAGCTCTGCCATGTGTACGTGACCTTGGGCACTTGAGGGAGTTACGGAATCCAGGACAGACCACCCTCTGCTGGGCCCACCTGATGTCTTTCCCTCCCCACCTCCCCCCCACCCCCAGGTTTCACCTGGTGCACGCTCCGCCACTCCACCCCGAGTTCAAGAGGGCCATCAGGGACCTGCCCCCCCACTTCAACGCCTCCACCGAGCCCGACTACCGAAGGCTCATCTCCAACTACGGCACCCACTTCGCCAGCTCCATGGAGCTGGGCGGCAGGGTCTTGGCCCTCACCGCCCTGCGCACCTGCGAGCTGGCCCTGGGCGGGCTCTCGGCCGACGAGGTGGGGGCCTGCCTGGCCGTGGAGGCCGAGGTCAGCATCGGCAGCCGCGCCAGCTCCTCGTCGGAATACAAGGCCTGCGAGGAGAAGAAGAGGCAGCACAAGATCGCGGCGTCCTTCCACCAGGCCTACCAGGAGCGCTACTCCCGGGTGGTGGGCGGCCACCACACCGCTGTGTCCGACTTGCTGTTCGGGAAAGACGCGGGGCCCGAGCAGTTCTCGGCCTGGGTGAGCTCCCTGGCGGACAGGCCCGGCCTGGTGGACTACAACCTGGTGCCGCTGCATGAGCTTCTGCGGAAGCAGGACCCGCGGCGGGAGGCGCTGAGGCAGGCCGTGAGCAAGTACGTGATGGATCGTGCCCGCTGGAGGGACTGCAGCCGGCCCTGCCGCCCGGGCCAGCAGAAGAGCCCCCACGACCCCTGCCAGTGCGTGTGCCACGGCTCCGCGGTCACCACCCAGGACTGCTGCCCCCGGCAGAGGGGCCTGGCCCGCTTAGAGGTGATGAACTTCCAGGCGACGGGTCTGTGGGGAGACATATTCACATCCGCGGACGCCTACCTGAAGGTCTTCTTCGGGGGCCAGGAGCTGAGGACGGGCACGGTGTGGAACAATAACAACCCCGGGTGGGCGACGCGGCTGGACTTTGGGGATGTGGTCCTGGTCTCCGGGGGGCCCCTGAGGGTGCAGGTCTGGGACCAAGACTCTGGCTGGGACGACGACCTGCTTGGCACCTGTGACCGGACTCCGCAGGCCGGCCGGCACAGGGTGGAGTGCAGCCTGCATCACGGGCGCCTGACGTTCGCGTACCACGCCACCTGCCTGCCTCACCTGAAAGGGGCAACGTGCTTGGAGTACGCGCCCCAAGGGCTTCTGGGGGAGCCCCCGGGAAACCGAAGCGGAGCGGTGTGGTGACGGCGGGGGCCTGAGAGGGCCTGTCTGCCCGGACTGAAGGGGTTCTCACGGAGGGAGGGAGCCAGGGGCTGGCTATCGTCATATCCCCTTTAGACACAGAGGAAATGGGCTTCCCCCGCCTTTTTTTTTTTTTTTTTCTCAGTGAGGTGGCTGGACTTATAGGCAGCCCTGAGTCTCCCCGTCCGAACTGCCTTGGCTGCCCAATCTTCTGGAGCCCAGGAAACCAGCTGCCACTGGGCCATGGGAGTCATGGCCGCCGGCCGCTGTGCAGGCCGCAGAGAGGCCAGGAGCTGGGCAGAGGGCCAGGAGGCCACTCCCTCCAGGCTGCTTGGTGTCCTCAAAGGGCTTCCCTTCCTAACATGGTGGATTTTCATCATTTTAGATCTCACCCTTCTCTCCCGGCGGCTCTGTGTTCTGTCTTCTTTGCGTCTCAGACCTGTCCCGTGTGTATACAACCTGGCAGAGAACCAATAAACGCGACGTGACGAGAACTGTCATGGAGGCGGCTGTGACAGAGGAGAGGGTGGGGACCAAAACAGCCCTGGAGACAAGCGTCTACTCCCCCAACCCCGCCAGCGGCAGGTGGCTCACCCCGCGGCAGGCAGGGATACAGGACTTGTCTTCCACTTTTGTTGGGAATGTGGGGACCCAACCTATTTTACTTTCCGCATAGTAACGCTCTCATTTGAGAAACAACAGCGTCAACTTACATGGCGATGGACATTCTGCTCCCAGCTGTGAGGCCATAGGGAATGTGTGTGTGTGTGTGTGTGTGTGTGTGTGGGGGGGGGGGGGGGGCGGGGGAGACTCTGGTTAACTAAAGGACCCAGGTCTACTCTAGGGGGTGGGAGCTGCGCTCTGCACCAGCCAAACATTCGCAGGCAGGAATATGAGCCCCGTGGGGCCAAGTCTTCTAGATTCTTAAATATATATATATATACACACACACACATATATATACATATATATATGTATATATATATATGTATATATATATATATATATATATATATATATATATATATATAATTGATTTTTTACAGAGAGGAAGGGAGAGGAATAGAGAGTTAGAAACATTGATGAGAGAGAAACATCTATCAGCTGCCTCCTGCACAGCTCCTACTGGGAATGTGCCTGCAACCAAGGTACGTGCCCTTGACTGGAATTGAACCTGGGACCTTTCAGTCCGCAGGCCAACGCTCTATCCACTGAGTCAAACCGGTTAGAGCTAGATTCTTAAAGTAATCAGAAATCTCAATTTGACTTCTAATTGTTGACAATTTCTTTCACCTTGTAAAAAAAACAAAACAAACAAAAACAAAAGCCTGATGCGGGAAAACATGGGGCCAGCCAAGGAGAACATGGAGGAGGGCCACCCTTGATCTGGAGCAATCAGTTTGGAAACTATCTCCTCAGGACCCATGGAGAGGCTGACAGCTCTCCCTTGTCCCACAGTCTCCGAGGAGGGAGCCCTAGGTCCAAGCAGGAGATGTCGGAGGGCTACCTGGTCAGCGTGCAGGAAACGCCAGAGCCTTGGGGTCAGGTGTAAAATGAAATGGCCTGGGTTCCTGTGCCTGGGACACAGGCCTAGGAACAGGCCCATAGGCTGTGCAAGGCGTGGTCGGGGCTCAGCTGCCGGCACAGGCCTCCTGATTGATTATCTTTGAAACCCGCTGTAAATCAAGCCCCTCGAGGCTTGTGTGAACCCCCAAGTGGCAGTACATGGAGCCTGAATCCTCCAGTGGGACGAGAGGGACGGGTGAGCGCTAAAAGCCAGTTTAAAACCACCGTTCTTAGCATGTTTCCACTCGCAGCCACACACACAAACAAGCGCGGGAGAGAAATCTTGAAACTGCACGCTGGCTGCTGCACTACTTGAAAATGAACCTGGGTGGGGGAGCAGGGAGGGCCAGGGCGGGCTGCGGGAGCAGCTCTGGTGAGCACGGGGGTTGGGGGGGGGGGGTGTCTTGGTCAAGTACCCACATGGTCGGTGACCTCCAACAAGCCCCCCTGCTCCCTAGGCCTTGGTTTCCCTCCTCAGGGCCCCGTGAGCCTCTCTGTGTCAGTGCTCTGAGAGGGTCCTGAACGGCTACCTGGCTAGCCCTCCTGGTGGGCCTGTAGGAGAGTGAGGCCAGAGGAGAAGGGATGGGACTGTGGGTACGGCGCTAGGGGCCAGGTGTCTTCGTGTCCCGGCACTCCGTCCAGCACGGCTTTGGAGAGAGCAGCAGGGCTCAGAGAGGAACGTCCGGAGAGGACCAAGGCCCACTTTGTTGTGGGGCTGCTATGGAGCCCTCAGCCCTAACAGAACCCAGCACGTTTTTGTCCCCGCCCCACATGGACATGGAGGCACTTTGTCACACCTGAGGCCCCTGTTTGTCTGAGAAGTTCTCCACTGTGCCAGGTGCCTTCCTTTTGCCCTCCAGGTCTGGTCTGCACCCTGCTCCTCCCTGCTCCTCCCTGCTCCTCCCTGCTCCTCCCTGCTCTGGCCCAGGAGGCTGACCCGTACGTCCGAGCCTGGGCAGAGGCTGGAGGGAGGGGAGAGCTCCGAGATTAGGCATTCACTCCACTCAGTGTCTCTCAGTGAGGCAGCCTTGGGTCTGCTCAGTCCCCCTTCCTCTCCGGGGGTCTCTGCGCACTCTCTCTTTCTTCCTGGATTCCAGCAACCGCCCCCTCCCCTCATCCCTTCAGACCTAGGGGCGGCAACAGCTCTACTGATGTGAATCCTGAGTGACGGCACTGTCCCCCATGCCTCCCCACACCCCCACACCTTTGTAAGTAGGCCCTTTATAAGCAAACTCCCTCAAATTAGTACTGCCTGAATATGTCACTGGCTTCTGCTAAGATCTGAATGCTCGTATCCCCCCAAAATCCACATGTTGAAAACATAATCCCCAAGGTGATGCTATGAGGAGGTGGGCCTCTGAGAGGTGATTACGTGGGGTCACTGCCCTTATGAGGGCCCAGAGAGACCTCTGCCTTTCCCACCATTTGAGGATACGGCGAGAAGACAGCGTCTGGAACCAGAGAGTGGCCCACAGAATCTGCTGGCACCTCGATCTTGGACTTCCAGCCTCTGGAACTGTGAGAAATAAATTTGTGTGGCGTTTCGTTTTAGCAGCCCAAACGGCCTGAGACGGCCTCCTATTGGGACCCTGATGGCACACCACCTATGGGTCCTGGTGGGAAGCAGCCACCTCGCCCACCAAGACGGCAATATGCCCACTCCTTGCTTCCCCACCCCTCCTGTAACTGGGAAAGGACTTGTGACTGGGTCTGCCGGTTGGATGCACCTGTCCCAGGTGTGGCGTCTCTTCACAAAAGGTCAGGATCTGAGTGCAGATCGTTTATGCCGGAGGCAGTCCGGGGAAGCTCCGGTAGGGGCGAGGGGAAGGGTGCCAGCAAAGGGAGGGTAGCCCGTAAAAGGGACACTATCCTGCAAGTCACGGCTGTGGGCACCCCCCACCCCCACCCCAGCCCTTAGTCATTGGTTTTCTACTTCTTTCATTCTGACGTGGAGACCAGTGCTGGTGACGATAAATGCTGGTGGATGACACCACCACTCTCCTTCTCCCTCCCTGCTTCAGCATGCACACCCCTTTTCCAACCATTCTCCCACCCCCCTGGCGGGCCCATGTCCTGAGAACCTCCGCTCCACTGTCCCCAGCACCTCCCTCCCAAAGGCATGAAGCTCAGAGGACAGGGACCATTTGCGGTTCCATCAGTCAACAGACGGAGCACCTGCTGTGAGCCAGTCCTGGGCGGCCAGTGAGGAAGCCACGCAGGGCATCTGTCCTCCTTTGGCCAGACAGGAGACATAATGGAAGATACAGGGGGCAGGGTGACGTTGGGGTAGGGGGCTTGGCTCGGTTGCTTTTCTCTCGTTTTCACATACCTACACTTGCGCGCGCACACACACACACACATGTGCGTGCACACACGGTCCACGTGATCTCTTCCAAGACCTGGGCTGCTGCTGACCACAGCCCCGTTTGTGTCTTTAAGCAGTTGCTGCAGCACCTTCATCTGCCTTCACACATGCTCCGTGGTCTCTGAGGTCTGGCCCTGGCTGCCTGGGGTCTGGGTCCGTCTCTCAGATGTGGGCAGGGGAGGGCCTGCAGAAGAAGCTGAGGGAGAGCCTTGGGGAGGTGCAGGAGCCCCTTGTGGCTTTGCGAGTCCTCCACAGTGTTCTTCGTCCCCCCCATATCTGTCACCGAGGCTAACCATCTCTGCATCCTGACATTGTCCCCTTCTGCCGTCCCCACAGCCTCTCCAGCCCCGGCTACCACCATCTCCTTTCGCGGCCTCCTCACTGATCCCCAGGCTCCCGTCTGCCCTGGCTGTCTCGCCAGCCATAACCACAGTGGTGCCCACACACTGCCCATGTCCCCTGAGCCCCCCCCCCTCAAGCCAGCCCCTGCATCTCTCTCTGAAGGCCCATCCTGCAGCCCACTCTGCCTGCCCCTTCGGAAGACCACGGCTGTGGGGAAGTGCCCATGCCCTGCCCAGCCCAGAACAGAGCTCAGAGGCCCATGCAGGTGATCTATTCGGACCCCAGCTCCCTTCGCTGAAGGGGAATAACTGAAGGGAGAGCTCCCAGCAGGATTAAGCTCCAATACCCACAGAGATGACTTACTTGGCCACACACGCTCTCCTGGCTGACTCCCATCCCCGCCTCAATTCCCCTCTCCCCTACGGGTATTTCCTGGAATCACCTCCCACATAAATTACCCAGCCCCTGTCTCAGGGTCTGCCTCTGGGGAAACCGGCTGAGAAGCCCATCTGACCACATCATTGCCTTGCTTAAAACCCTCCATTGGTTCCGTGTGGCTCTTGGGATGAAACTCAAACCTCCTAATGGGACACACATGCCGACCCCACTCTCCACTCTGCTCTCCCCTCGCTAAGCCCCGCCTCCCTGAGCGTGTTGGTTCCTCCGTGGGCCATGCACTCTCTGGCCCTTCACCCATGCTGCCTCCTCTTCCTGGGACTTGTCTCCTCTGGCCTAAGTCCTCCTTGGCCTTCGGGCTTCAGCTTCAAATATGGCTTCCTCCAGGAAGCCTTCTCTGACTGCCAGATCGAGGTCACGACCTCTACGACTCTGCTCCTATAGTTCCCATTCTTTCCCAAGGGCCAAAGGCCATTTCTATCTTATTCATAGTTGAATCAATTAAGGCAGCACCTGGTATAAGTTTGATGCCTGAAAAATATTGATGGGATGATTAGTTGGGTGAGTGAATGAATAAACGAATGAAAATGAATGAATGAATGAATGAATGAATGAATAAAATCCACCAAGGAACCTTCTAGCCTCTGCTCAAACTCTCCCAGAGTCAGAGAGCTCGGTGCCTCTGGAGGCAGCTGTGCTGCGTGTGGAAGAAATGAGCCATCGTGTTACACTGCCTCCTTGAGACGTCCAGCCTGGCCATGGT